CCTAATATCAGTAGAAGTAACATATAGGGATATTATTTTTATGCTAAAAAAATTTAAATATAAAATTATGAAATCATATCAGCATTCAGGAATAGCTGATTTAGTGTGAAATTCAAACTAAACACCATGTATCCTTACAATGTATAATAGATATATGTCATTCTTTTAACGCACTCCCCCCTCCCTATGTTTTAGGAGAACATTAGAGCAATCCTCATATTGACTATTCTGATCCTTACTAGTAAATATTTTGATATTGGTGATAATATATATTGAAACATCTATTTCACGTTAGAATATTAAAATTAAATTTCTACACTCGCAAGTGCAACATACTTATTAGGCTAGATAAAATTATTGAGGCAAATAAGAACCCGAGAAATACTGGACTAAATGAAATAGGGAAACTATCCTGAAAACCTTTGATGAAGATCGGATTTATTTGATGAAATTACTTTTTTACATTTAGATTTGGTGGAATCCCTTTCTGTTCAAAAAGATGTAAATTTACCTATTATTTCGAAACGAAATAAAATAGAATAATTTTGCTAATGAAACAATCTGATATTTCTGATTATTTCACTTAAAAAAAAAATTCTGAAAGAACTTGATCATAGATTTCCCATTACAGAGCAAAACTTTGTTATGTTAATTAATGACAGAGTTTGGAATCCGGACTAAAAATGGTTCCAGTTCTGTTTTTATAAAAATGGTGGTTCCGGTTCTTAAATTTGACATAGTTCCAGGTTCTGATTGGTTCCAAACTTTTTAAAATAATAAGAAAATAATATTTACAGCAAATAAATTCTCTAAAAAGAATCACGTAAAGTTTTAAGCAATATACATATAAATTATTTGCACGATTGTTAGAAAGGTCCTGGAAATTTTAAAATAGGTTCTGGTTTCGACAGGGATCCAAACCGAAACGAATATCGGTTCGGTTCAGGTTCAGGTTCGGATAAAAATAATGGTTTAAGGTTCAGGTTCGGTTCGCAAAAAATAAAAATATAGGTTCGGTTCGAACCTCTAAAAACCGGTTTGAACACATTTGTATTCAAACCTACATTAGGATTATGTATCAGGAAAATTTTTTTTTTATTTTATAATTAAAATAAAAACCATCATTTTTATTAATTGCACATTATAAAATAATATTTAATTTATAAATATAACAAATAAATATATCAATGATTAATTTAAATATGAACAATTACTTAAATTTTTTTTATTAAGCTGCACAATTAATATATTTTCAAAATTCGTCTCACTCAAATTACATCTATAAGGAGATAATATAAATTTAATTGTTGAAAAACATCCTTCCACACTAACTTGGGTAGCTGGCATTGCCAGTATGATATCAGATTTTATGTGTCATTTATAATACTATATGTAAATAATTTATATATTAGATTTAATTTTTTTCATTATAATTTATAAGCTTAAAATATTTAAAAAATATTGCAAAATGGCAATACACTAAAGTTTATAAAAATTATGACTGACGTTTATCAATCAAATGTGATTGATAATAATTTTTAAAACAATTTGAATATAATTAAAATATTTGCAATATACTACTAGTAATAACTTACACATTATTTTATAAGCATAAAATTATGAGACTCGAACCGGTTCAGAGGCATTTTAGCGGTTCGGTTCAGGTTCGGCTAGAAATTTTTTAGAGGTTTAGGTTCGATAAAAAATACAGGTTTTTAACGGTTCGGTTCAGGTTCGGTTTGGATCCCTGGGTTTCGATGCTAGTTCCTCTATAAATTTTACATGAGATGCTGTATATTTGTCCAGGTTTCGCCGGTTCTGGTTTCAGGTACAAACTGATTAATAACGATAACTTATTTTAAAAAAAATATCAACATTAGATATTAGGGACAATACTAGATTCAAAACTGAAAAGTTAAAAATTATTTCTGATTTTTGTTCTAATTTATAAACACTGCCTCAATGTAATTCATAATTCAACAAGCTTCTTGAAGTTGAACACGATATCATTGTATAAACCAAACCGAAAAGATACATTTCTAATTGTCTATAAGCCTTCGAGTTCAACTGATCTTCTAACTAAATTAGCTAAATTTTTTAATAAATGAAGATTGTAATGATGATTTAGAACATAAATGCCATTTTTTATTAGGCCAACTTAAAATTATGCAAGATGTGTCTTAACCTTTTAAAGAAAAGACGTTTAGAGCTTCATAAATTCGCAAATTTGGCATATATTTTTTCATACCCCTGCCCAATACACCTGTTGATTCATATGGAACTTATAAATTCCAAAAGAACCTCCATGTATCCATAAGTTGTTAAAATTTTTTGTTTTTCCTCATGGAGTTGGTGTAAATAAACTTGGTACTATCAACTTTAAACTACCCCTAAAATATTTGTAATGCAGTTTTTTCACGCAAAGATTTTCATCCGGTTTAAAACAAAGCTATTTAAAATATTATCCTTCCCTCGTGGAGTAAGAAAATTGGCCTATCGATTTCAAACTATTTCCTAAAAGGTTTTTAATACTGATCTACTACATAGAATTTTTTATTCAGCCAACCCAATTTTTTAAAATGTTTTAAAAGCACTAATACTAATACCATCTTGCCTTAAAAATTTTAAAGTAAATTAAAATATAAAAACCCTTTTTCATATTTATGATTTACAGGGTTCCCCATTCAAAAAAGGAAAAGTCCCAATCAAAAAAGGAAAAGTTTCAATCTTAAAAGGAAAAGGATCAATCATAAAAGGAATAGGTTCAATCAAAAAAGGAAAAGGTCCAAACAAAAAAGGAAAAATGTCAATCAAAAAAGAAAAGTCGTAATTTTTTTTAAAAAAAATTATAAATTTTTCAATTGTTCTTAAATTTTTATTTATTTTTGTCATTCCTTCTTATTTTATTTCTAACTTTTTGCGATTTCCTTACTTTATTTGTATCCTTTCTCAATTTATTTTTCTTACTATATCTTTTCTTAATTTTTTAATAATTCTTTTGTAAATTTAAAATTAATTGATAAATTTAGGTCCATTTTTTAAACAATTCTTTACTTTTTTTTCATCATACATATGTCGTAATTTTTAAAGGGATCATAACTATCCGGGATCTTTACGGGATTTAAAGGGATCCCTTTAAAATTTAAATTTTTTAAAGGATAAAGAACTCTACGGCATTATCACGTTTGAACCATGATATAGAAGAATCATATTTTAAAAGCGTTTTCCGCGCGTTTCGTTTCGTTTCGTTTTTTAATTTTATTGTTATTCATTAATTTTCAATGTTGTTTTTTTGGCCTTATGAAATAAGATATGTCTAATATAGGGTATCAATCTATAGCTAATCAAAAGATCTATTCAACTGGAGGCCAATCTCTCCCCCATAATGGGCAGGTCTAGGCCTTGGGGGGTCAGAAATATTTTTATCAACACAAAATATCGATATGGGTATCAAATAAAAGCTAATTATATATGGTTTGACTGAAACTCTTTATTCTTGGTCTGGGTGGATATGATTTGGTCGGGGGGGGGGGGGTGTAAGTGTAAAAATAACTAATGAGAACTTTTTTTAAGAAGAATAACAGAGCCCTGCAGAAATACCATTTGGCACGGCCCGTATTTTTTTAAAATTTTTTTTACTGCCAGGTTCGGGGTTTTTTTAAAAAAATTTCAGGCCCACCCCGGCTTTTTTTAAAAAAAAATTTCAAGCCCGGCCCGGATTCAAAAAAAATAAATTATATATTTTTTTGATTTTTATTGCTAAATAACGATTTTAAATTTAGGCTGTTTTAAAATATACAACCCGGCCCGGATATTTTTTTAAAAAAATTTTCACGCCCTGTCCCGATTTTTAATAAAATTTTGGGCCCGGCCCGGGTATATTAAAAAAATTAAAATGGGCCTGCAGGTCTCTGAAAAACATACCAAGAAGTACAACTTATGAAAGTAGATTGAAAGGTATGGATCTTTTGAATATTCATAGGCATTTGACGACAAGCAAGGATGAGATAATTGAAATATTAGCTCAATCCCAACTAAGATTGGATTTTACATGTATATATATAACTTACAAAATACAATTATTCCTTATAAACATTTTGTGTATTAATTTATTTTTCCAACATCAAAATATTTTATTTATAAAAATTTTAAAGGCTCAAAAAATTTAAATTTCTATTTTGGGTCATTTAAGCGATTCATATAGTGGTTATATTCACTTTATATTTATAATTCACACTTATTATATAGTTTTTCTATACCGCCAGTTATATCCATTTAATATTTTTTAATTCACATTTATTTTATAGTTTTTTATATGACGGTTTATACATATAATTTTTTTATAATTCACATTAATTCAAAATTGTCTATTAGAAAATAGTTATTAATTCTAATTAAATTTATGCTTGATATTTTTAAAAAACAATAATATTCCTTAAAAAATTTTATTATCCCCCCCCCCCCAGACCAAATTCCTGCGTACGCGCCTGTTGTTTGGATTGACATTATCATGGTTATTTATAATATAATACAAATAAAATTAACGAATATCTCTGGTTCATTCGCTATAGACTTTGATTGAGAAATCAATTTATACCCACTAAAAAATAATTTTTAAAATTTTTTGTTGGTATAAGTTATAATTATCCCCAATTTTAGAGCGTTACATCATTTTTTCACATAAGTATTAAAGGTGAAAGGTTAAACCGGTCTTCAAAGTCTAAAGCTCATTAAACTAATTAATAATTATTTAGAACTTGAAAAATATATTAATAAATGAACAAATATATAAAAAAAATTTAAAAAAGGAGAATGCTAAGTCAATAATTCACCAAGAAGTTTTAAACATTAAATAATTGGAACAAATTATTATGATAGCCTGTCTTTTTGAAAATTTCAAGTTATACATTTTTTTATTTCTTTAAGAGAGTGGGGGAGGTGGGGTATTAACACTCAATTTCTAATCAAATGCAGATTAAACATTAGAAATTATTTTTTAGGAAAATAGGTTATACTAATACAATATGTTTCCTTCATTCCGGCCGAACTATCAAATGTATGGAAAAGGTAGAATTGCCTTTGTGCATCCCAAACTCAGTTACCCAAAGTATTTACATCGAAAATACTGACTCATTAACGGATCAAACTTCTTTTGCGCATAAGTGGCACCTTAACTTGTTGCCTCCTATAAATGAATTTTCCCACTCAAACTTTCGTACAGAACATCTAAGAGGCTTAAACTGCTGCCTAATACCAGATGTTGTTGACAATAATCATGATCTCCTTCGTCATCATCGCATTGCTACGGAAGACTCTTCATATAAAAACATACCATCGGTCAACTCTGTTATAGATGAAGGGAGTTATAAATTTGGCAACAAGGAATTCAAAAGATCAGCTAGTTATGCCAACGATGAAGGAACGACGGATTATAATAGAATCGAGATCTTAGATAGTATTCGATATATTGATGAACCCGTTTCAAATCATTTTTCACCTGACACCAAACAACACATTTGCGACAAGCTGGGTATATGCGATTCTTAAATAAATATAATAATTTTGATCAGGTTTTGAACCGATAGGTAGAACGGTTTCACTCCTATCTGATTTTTAGTTTAAAATTTTAAAAGGTTTCTTTTCATTTAGTTATTTTTGAACAAATTTAATCTGTTTATACGGTTCTTTTCGCTTTGTTACTGTTTTTATAAAATTTTTGATTTTTTAGATTAATCATATATTTTATTAATTATTGGTTTATAATAATCTAAAAAATATTTTTAAAATTTAGAAATAAAAATCAAAATTATATTAAAAAATTAATTAAAAATTAAAACCTCAAACAAAGATTAAAGGTAATAGTTTCAATTTTTTATTTTATTATAAAACATGAATAAAAATTAACATAACTTAAAATATCATAACCTCATATAAATTTATACAACGGTTCGGGAATTTGTAACAGTTTATTTCGGGTAGCCGCTCGGTTCAACATATCATTCAAACATTTTCCATAATATAATTAAGTATTTTTCTAATATTTAAACATTATCATTACTTGATTATTTAATATATTTAATCCCATTGCAATTATTTTTTAATTATTCTACTCTAATTTTACCTTCCCTTTAATTTAGTTAGGTGACCTTTTTTTCTTTTTAAATTATTTATTTATAATTTAATATCCTTTACAAATCGATGAGATTTTTTTTAAAAAAGGCATGAAATAAATACCTAAAAAATATTAAAGGTCCCTTGGAACGCTATAAAAGTCACGATTTAGAATTTTTTAAAATTTAAATCCAATTTTTTGATATAAGGTTGTGGCCTAAATATAAAATATTTAATTAATTAATTTTAACGAAAGAAGAGAAATAAGCTATTTTTAAATGTAAAAATAAAATAAGATCTAAATCATTTTTTCGAATTTACGAAAATTAATTAATTTTTTAAAATTCTAGATATTAATAAAATTAATAAATTTTAGCTTTAAATGTTTTACGAAAAAATGTAAGTAAAATTAAATTATAGTTTTTTTTCCTTGTTACTGCCATATTTTCATGATTTTATTTTTTGAAAAAAAATTTTATTTTAAAAGACTTGCTTATTGAATACTTGTATAAATTTTTCAAAGATAAATATTTATATTTTACTAATTTACATTACAAAATTAGACCCGGCCCGAATCCGGCCTATTTTTTTTAAAAAAAATTGGAGTTTGGCTAGGTCGGGCCTAATATTTTAAAAAAAAATTCGGGCTGAATCGGGCCTTGGAAATATTTTTAAATATATAAAAAAAAATTTTATTTAAATTGCATCTATCTTCTATATATATAATCCTCAAAAAACGTCAATCAAATTTAGCCAATAGTATTCTTTTAAAAATTATTCGTCCAATGATAATCATCATAGCAATTTTAAGTCAATAGTAATTCTATCATGTGATTTACAGATTATATATCTTATTTAATGGCGATGATTTTACATACTCAACCCAAGATGCCTTATCAGAAGATGTTAAGATATTGGTAATTTATGTTACAGATGATTTTTTATTAGTGCTGTAAACATTTTTAAAAAAATCGAACGCGTTCAACGTTCATTGACAAAAATCGAACGCGTTCACGTTCAAATTCAAAAAAAGGAACGCGTTTAAGTTCATGAACGCGTTCATGCGTTCAAAATTTTATGATAAATTTTTTTTTAAATTTAATTTAATATAAATAAATGCCTTATATTTTTCAAAACAATATATTAGCCATGATAAAAAATAATAGTTTTATTTTGATAATATAATTATAAATACAATATAATAGAGCGATAAAAAAATAAATTTATAAAAAAATTTTCTTATTAATTTTTAATTATAATTGCTTTTCAAAATTTTCATCTGATAGGCATGAACGCTTGGCAGTTAATACAGCGTTAGCTATACTAAAAACTCGCTCAACAGGGGCAGATGAAGGGATTGCGGTGTTATACTTGATAAACAATTCTTTTAAAAGGGGGAATTTATTAAAAACATTTAATGTTTTATCCATTGTTTCAAAAAATTGAGCTATGTTATCATCCTCCAATCTGCCCTCTTCTTCCTCGTCAAAATAAAAAGATATCTCGGAATTGATTTTAAAACAGTGAAATATTTTTGATATTTGGGCCATGGTAATTCTAATTCATCTAATATTGAATTTTGATTTTCAGAATCTGATGATGAAATATTTATATCCATGCAAATGCTAATCTATTAAATTAAAATATAAAATATTCAAATTAATAAACTTTAATCTTATCTTCTCTAGCAGTAGCACGTTATGGTACGTTAATTGCAATATGAAAGAGGAAAAAGTAAAAACAGCTGATTAAAAAATATAAGACTTTTTTGTTAAAAAATTGGATTAAATGTTAATTTTTCAAATAAATAAAAATATAAAACTTTTTTGTTAAAAAATGCGGATTAATATTAATTTTTCAAATAAATAAAAATAAAAAGTGTTTTTTAAAATTGAACGAACGTAAAATTGAACGCGTTCATCAAAGAAAAGGAACGCGTTCACGTTCAAAGTTCGTCAAAAAAAGGAACGCCGTTCATCACCTTTTTTCAAAAAAACGAACTTCGTACAACACTATTTTTTATTTATAAATATTTCACATTGGATCTCAAAATGATATGAAATTAATAATTTGTCATTCATAAATCTTGCCAATTTTTCTTCCTACTGCAAAAAATGACAAGTTAGCTGCAGGTGAAATATTCATTTTTCAAAAGTATAATTTTTAACAAATTTTATCTAGATAAATAAATAGAAATTTCAAACTAAGAAATATAACCACTATTTTTTGTTATTTTTTTTAACATTCTTTCTCATTTTTCATCAGAAATTGTGATTTATGGATCTAATTGAGAAGATGCTTCAATCTTAGTCAAAACTCTGGTAAACATTTTACAAGGAATGCTTCGTGCCTTCCATTATAAATATTCCCACTATCTAATAAATATTTGCATTTTATAAAATTATATATCTGTTACAATCTTTAAATTTCTGAACATATTAAAAGGGCAATTTTTATTCATATTTTATCATGAATTTCTTTATATAAATAAATATTTGTTTTTATATGATAGGGAATTAGAATTTTCACCTTATTTGATGATAGATGAATCATTTTCTTTTATTTTATAAAAAATGTTAATGTAGTATATATATTTACTACCTTCAATGTAAACATTCGTCGGTTTAGAATTGGAGTGCTTCACTCGACATTTTCAAAATTTTTGAGTTAGAAGGGTAATAACTTATTTACACCCAATATATATAAAAATAAAAACTAGTTTAAAAAATATTAATTTTTGCCAGTTATTGTCAAAATTGATCAATAATTCCCTATATTTTATTTAAACTTTAATGTTGATTTTCTCATTTTAAACATTCAAAATTTTTGAATTAGAAGTGGATAATAACTTATTTATACTAATATATATAAAAATAAAAATAGATTAAAAGATATTAATTTTTGCCAAATTGTCTTAATTGATCAATAACTTTTTCATATGTTTTATTTTAAACTTTAATGTTGATTTTCTCATTTTAAACATTTGCGCAAGTGGAGCACTCCAATTCTAGACCGACGAGGACACGTTTTTATTAATTTTATAATTTCTGTAATTTTGTTTATTTATGAACTCAAATATTATTTAATCGTGCTAAGGTGAGGATTTTGTATATTAATCATAAGGCTTATACCAAAATATATATTGCTGAACACCAAAATAAAATAAACACTATTTATAATATTGGGGAGTTGTCAAATTAAAAACACTATACTTTATGAATTATCACTTCTATAAAATATCAGAATTCAGCAAATATATATGTATATAAAAAAGGTCAGGCATTAGTAAAATATTGAAATTAGACCAAGCAAAACTTGGGATGGGCATTAAATAAATTCCCTTGAGCCTGAAAATGTTGTTATTTACAGACCTCTAACCTCCACAGGTTTAACTATCACAATTTCAGATATTTGCTTTTTAATTTCACTCATAAATGAATTTAAACTATCATTTATATCTTTCGACATCATAATACTTTTACCAATAAGAGGTACTTCACTAGTATTTGACTCCTCATTCCCACTGGAATTATTTATTTTTTGAATATTTAAATTTCTAAGTTCAAGTAAAATCCAATTTAAAATATTTTTTATACCTTCAGAAAAATTTAAAGACTTAGCAATGTCATAGAAATTACACCCACAACATTTGAATCATCTAACTTACTCACTTTATTCGTAAAATATTTCTTCTTAATTAATTGTATAATAAAAATCATTGATATATATAAGATGAAAAAAATTAAAGCTGTAACCACACAATTGGTCACATCCAATTTATCAAAACTCGAATTAAAGATTTTAAAAATATTATTCTTATAAATTTGCATCTTATAAAAAGTAGAATTCCTATCACTAATAAAAAAATAAACCATGTTCTTATTTAAATATTTAAAATAAAATTTTACCATTACAATTGCGTTGTTTATAAATATATATTAAAACAAAATTTCTTTTATTCTGATAAGAATAGTTTCCTTTAGAATCTTTTCTCTTTTCAAATATTTTTCCCAATTAAAATTCAAATCCTGTTAACCACGGTCACCAATAAAATAACCACCAAAATAACAATAATCGCATTTTATTTATTAGATGTTTTCAATATAATGATTGACATTTCTAATTTTTTAATATAAATATATATATATATATTATTTCTATGATTACAACAATTGTCACAGTATGTCTCTAGGAATTTTAAATAATCAGGAAATTTGGGATAAAAACTATTTAAGAAATGTTCACGAAATTGTTATTGAAAGCATTTTTAAGATCTACTTTGATAATAGTCATGTTAGGAGGATTTTGGATATAATACAAAAAATGGCATGTGTCTCCCTTAACACCAAATCCTAATTAATAAGTTTACCTAATAAGTTTAGACCTTGCGTTTTGACCCATGGCAATTATTTTTGCTAA